TGTCTGAGTCTTTATTCTTCATATGTAATTTAAAAACAAGCTTTTCTTTATAAAAACTTCAATTGAATTTCAATAAAATTAAAGGCATGGTCTTATCATTAATATTTTTTTTAAAATATATATATATATATATAATAATCTATCTGTTTATACTATAGTAACTAAAAATGAATTATAATTCAACTTTGTTTTTTTACCCTTTTGAGTGATGTTATATAATAACAATAAATAAAATAACAATTCATTGCATTTCTATTCTTAGAAGTTATATATGCTTCTGCCTATTGACGTGTGACTAGAAATATCAATAATTTAATCATGACTGATCATGACTGATACTAGTTCAGTCACAAATTCTGACTGACTGAACTGACTATTTGTTATTACTATATTTTGTTATTTATCATTGTAATAACCTGTAAAATAATTATCATAATACAAAAATAGATTTGATTATATGAATTGTGTTAAAATTATTGTTATATACAAATTTAACCAAATTGGCTAAAAGGTATTTAATGAATAACTGCATATACTAGGACCAAAGTACGTAATGTATAGTTTACAGACAAGTTAATGTGTCTGTACAATTCTCAGCATTTGATTGGTCCACGTGACTCTGTTCGTCACATATTGTTATGCTTTGCCTATTTTTCACACGTCATTTTTCACACCTTATATATGTGTGATAAATTGTGTACACATAGGCGTATATTATCTAAAATACTGTCTCAATATTTAATATGACCAGTAATACGTACCCTTCATGTGTACAGTACGACAAACGAAAATAAAACTCAGAACCGATTTTATTATATTTATTTAAGGTTTTTTTTCTAATGGGTTTTTTCTAGACTATAAGTCAAAATTTATATTTATCTCTATTATTAAATTTAATTGAATTTATTTTATAATAAAGTATTACATTATTAACTATATATTATATTATTACAGATGATATAATTTAAATATAAACTTATTCCGCATTAGCTTATTAACTCTAAATCAAAAAAGCTTTAACTTAAATCAACTAACATTAATTAAATAATTTTGGATATTAAAATTTTAAATTACCAATCGGTCATGACCACGATCGGTTCGATCATGACTCATGAACGACCGAAACCGACCGTGACCGACCGTTGACATCCCTACTCGTGACAGTATATATACACGTGTATGAATATGCAGGATGTTTTATTTAGAAGTTACGTGACATAGACAATGTCGTAGTAGTTCATATAGTTGTAGGTCAGATTTGATCACACGGGTGGCATTAGCAAAAGTAGGAGGTGCATTAGCGGGTCTTAAAAATTATTATTTCAAAGCCGACAAAGCCAGCTCTTCTTGACAAATCTTGGCAAATTATCGAATCTTTGCTTGATTGCGAAAAAAAAACTTGCTTAATTGTGAATAAAAGAAAAAAAAGCTTGATTGCAAAAAAAACTCCAAATTCCACCTATTACTTATTAAATTTATCGAATATAACACAATTATTGACCAATCATATGCATTAAAAGCCACGTGCATTTGTGTTACGTCCAATGTTAATTGAACGTTGGACCTATAATAAAGTCCGAATTCAAACGTCCAACGTCCAACGTCCAACTTTGCGATATCACTGCCTATACGGATCATCCAGTGCGACCATTTGGGTTGGCATTACATAAATTACAGAACCTTGAAAATATCTAGTTTAAAAACAGAAAAAAAAGTCAAAAATTTTTTTCAAATGCTCGGATATACTTATAAATTTATAAAAAATACTAAATCTAACTAATTTTCAACTAATAACACGAAATTTTAGTATTAATAGGTATACTTTGATTCCAATTAAATAAATTATTGGGATCGTATTTCCGTTTAATTTCTACTAGCCTTTCAAAATTTTCTCCATAATATCTGCATTGCCAATTATCTAATTCTCTATCCATCACATTTTGATAACTTTCTGCACTAGTATAAGTTTTTTGAAAGACTAGAGAAAAATTTTCGAACTCTTTTAAACAGATTTCATAATTATCCTTATCCAATTCTATTTGCATTAATAGAATCCACATGAATCCCCTGTGTACATATGCACTTTCTTTTTGTCCAATCTTGTTAACTTTTTCACCAAATAACCATGTTCTTGTAAAAAGGGAACATTTGAAAGTTTTCTTAAATTCTATTAAATACTTAACACCTTCATCAGATAGTCCCGGGGAGTAAATAAAAAAAGACTTTACTTTATAATGACCTCTGGTCCCTCTCGTATCAAAAATTATTGTATGATACCAATCTCCTTCAGCATATGATTTATTTTTAGGCTTAGTCAAATTTATAAGTTCTTGTATATGAGGTTTTAGTTCATTTAAAGAACCTAGATAATACCCATTAATATCGAGTGAACCATTAATTTGATGATCGATCCCAAGAGTTAAGTTTTGATGAAAGCTGTTCCCCAATTTATTCATAACCGAATATACTAATTGAGCTTTATCAATATCATAAGAAAAAATCATCCTAGTTACAATCTTCTGAATAGGATAGATTTTAAGAGTTAAAGTAGTGACAATGCCATAACCAGCATTTCCAGCACCCCGAAGAGCCCAGAAAAGATCAGAATATTCTTTGACATGATTAACTATCGTTCCGTTTGCTAAAACAATTTGAGCATCAAGAATATTATCGCATGACAATCCAAATTTTCGCATGAGGTATCCTTGGCCCTATGAAAAAAAATTCACATAACTAAATAGCGAAATATATATATATATATATAATAAAATTTTCAAACAATACTTACACCACCCAAAATAATGCCACCAACACCAATTGTAGAACAATCACCACTTGGAAAAACAAATGCATGTTTATTCAAACTGTAATATAATGTATCTAGAGTATTTCCGGTTTCAATTATAGCAGTTTGTGTGATTACATCTATAATAATCTTATTCATATATCTAAGATCAACAATTAAAACACAATCTCTATCACCAATACTATAGCTTTCATAAGAATGACCACCTGATCTTGCAATAACGGCAAAATTTGATTTTGCACCACATTTTATAGCACTTTGAACATCAAATACATCTATCGTATGAACAAATGCCACCGGAAAATGAACTATCCTTGCATTATATTCTAATAAAAGATCATTTTTATAGCCAAAATCTTTACGATAATTAATAGAACCTTTAATGTAATGATCGAGACATTTTCGAAGGGTATCTTCTCCTGGACATTTATAATCTGGAACATAAGAGAAGACTTGAACAATTGCAGTAAATATATATATAATATATAAATAAAAAATCATTGCTTTTATTACAGTCTGAGGTTTATCAAGTTATAGTGTATGTTAAAATAATTAATTGTTAACGGGAAGGAAATATAAATGCTCAAAAAATAATTCGGATCAGTTTAGTTCTAACAATATACGAGGAAGGAAGATTAATTATGTGGAAGAACTAAAATTACAATTTAAGGCTAGAATACCGTTGTTATCCTATTAGGGTGATAAACGGACTAAGTAATCAAAACTATGTAAGCAGTATTAGTAATTTTATTATAATCAGAGTTTTATCAGCGAAATTAAAAAAATTAAAAATGATCTAAAATATTATTTTTTTTTAATTATAAAACAATGTACAAAATTCTAAAAGATTCATCTGAATGTTGCGCTTCTTTTCTAACCTTTTTAAAGTAAAAACTCTTCATAAGGACTACCTCTAAAAAGTTACGCTCGATTTTTCACAAAAGTTTTTCATTTATACTTTATCGTACAATATTTTTAAATAAAATTTATTTGTATTCTATTGATCGAATATTTAAAGCTTACATATTAACAAAAAATCTTCGACTGTAACTTTGTTTTCTTCAATTTATAAACTGTCTGTGAAAATTTCCAAGCAATTCCTTATTTTTTTAATGAGTTGAATCGATAATTTTTAATCACTATTGTAACAATTTAATATTTTTTATCTTAGGATTTCCATGATTACTGTAAATAAAATCCCTATTTCCTTAAATGAATTATCTCCTGTATCTAATCCCGTAGTACCCATTATCCCTCCATTCTGATAACAATGTCCAAGTTTGGACAAACTATAATTTTTATTTTTGAATTTTTATAACTTATACTAAAATAGTAATAATTGGTGGCTTGGTGACTTACTCATATGAGCAATGTGCAAGTCGTGTAGACGCGCCAGTAGGTGCGTAAACGTAGCCGTTTAAACCTGTTGTAATAAGATGAACACATTTTCATAAAAGAGTAACTACGAAGTGGGGCTATAAACACTCCATGGTAGTGTAGACGTAGCTTTAATCGTGTAAACGTCTCAAAATTTAACATATATATAAGAACTCTAAATCCAATAAAGAATAGTTAGTTCTCAGGTCTGCCAATAATTCCAAAATAAAAAAAAAGTATAAACTTATCTTGTGAATTGTCACCTTGAATTCGACTTGTAAAGTTAATAAACCTTTCGAGACTCAATTCGACGGACTGAATTGACTTGTAACTTCGACCTGGCTTATTAATCTTAGTACAGTGGAATTAAATATTGCCATTCCTGCCCTTGTAATAACGGCGTCAGAAAACATTCACCTGAGTCCACCTATTGCTCAGAAGATATCCCTGATTGTCCTTGTTCATTGTCAGCTTTTAAATTGATCATCCCTTAGTTATATACCCTTTAGCTGCTACTATCGCCTTGAGATCATCTCTCTTAACAGCATCACCTATAGTTGCATCATTGACTGATTAATATCAGCATACTCGCTTTATCCTCCCGTACTGAACGATAGTATTCTAGCCACTTTAAAAGACCTGTCTTGTCTTCTAACTTTCCCTATAGTTCATCAGTATACCGTTAGGGTTAAATTTGGCCTCGTTTCTAACAATTATCTCCCCCTATTAATAACGACGATTGATTTTCATTCGTGTAACGTGAAAAATCTTAAATAAGTTTAGATTACTTAGTCCATTTATCACCCTATTATTAGGCCTACCGAATAATTGATCATGGGGGCAACTAATTGCAATTTTTTAAACCCAATTAATTGAGTCACAATGAGTCAATTAATTGCAAATTTTGATGTGATGAATTATTTGCGTGACAATTAGTAAGTAAATCCTTATTTGTCACGTAAAATGATTCATCGCAACCATGTGATAATTTTAATTGATTTTAATTGTATGACGTATAAAAAAATTGATTTTACTTGATTTTTCGGTAGGCCTGTCTATTATCATATCCCCGAAACATAAAATCTCCTTAGAATTTTTTAATTTTATTACCCCTGCACAACTATAATTCGATCATTCCACCCGAACATCGTCTATTGCAAAATTTTTTAAAAAATCAATTATAGAGAACTAATCGATTTATCGCTTATTGCAGTTTGTGAAAGTTGCAGATCAAAAAAAAAAAGAAATTGACGATTTCTGATTTCTTAAATTTTATTTTTTATTTTTTGCAAAAATAGAAGTGGTGGATTTCAAACATACTAAAGGAGCGAACCAAACTTAAACATCAAACCAGGTCTTTTTACCATTAAAGAACCCGTACATATTTAAATTAGACAAAATTTATCCTATAACATAATCAAGTTAAACAACAAATATTTCTAGCTACCTTCTTGCAAAATCTAATAGACAGGATTATAGTTGTTAGGCGAAACCCAAAAAAGGAAATTATAACAATGAACATCATTATTATAATTTCCTTTTTTGGATTTCTCCTAACAACTATAGACAGGATATATTTTATTATGTATTGCCTTCTAAGCAAAGTTCGTCATAAGTGAGATATTTCTGCATAGCGAATATTTGAAGCCACAAACAGATCTTGGAATAATTTTTATTAGTGCTGTAGTGAGACGTTCTGTTTTGAAAAAGTACTTTAAAACTAACTTCAAGTTTTTTCTTTACACATTTTAAAAAAAAGTCGTTACTAAGCTAACACCTCTTGAATTTTAGATTACAAAAGATTATTTTTAGAGGTGATTTTTCAGTACTCAAACGAAACGATATTATGTAAAAAAAATTCTTTTTTATCAGTGAAACGTTACATTTTCAAAAAGTAATTTAAAGCGTATAAATAAGTTACCGGGCAATTGATTTGCATCAGTCAATCAAACAAACTTCTGCCTATGTGGCCAGGCCGGGCTGTGTTTATATAGGATAACGTTCTTCTGAATGGTCAATCACTTAAGTACTTTTTAAGAATGTAAAATTTCACAAGTAATAAATAAAAATTAAACTCGTCGCTATCTTAGAAGAAGTGCCAACGGTCAATATGCAAAATAGTCCCAAATAATCCCGCATCTAGAGGTTGTGACTATAGAACTATATGTAATTACTAAATCGCTAAATACAGCTGAGTTATTTAAAGAAAACTAACAGTACAATGTCTTTTTTTTTAAACAATAAATAAGCACGAAATGCATTAAGTTCAATTAATTACATTTGTGATCTGGAATGGTATTTCGGATGCAGAGGGGCAGATAGAGAATAAAAGAAGGATGCAAGTACAAATTAAACATCCTTAAAATATTAAAGAAATAATTGTAAATAATTTTAAGTAGTTTTAATAAATATTAAGTGTAAAGCGCATTTATAAGTGACGAAATGGAGTAATATAAAATAAAGGCTGAAATGGCCTAAGGAGCATTATGCTTCATTTGCATTATTAAATAATAAGCCCCAATATTTTACATCCTTCATAATATTGCATTAACATTTTACCTAGTAAAACTCTATAAAACTATAAAAATCATTGTTCGTTTAAGTTTTTAATCATGTGACTTACCTACTTGCCTTTTCTGATTCCAAGTAGCCAAAGCCTTAATCACCCACCAGTCAAATCTAACACCATTTTTTGAAAGGTTACTTATCATTGGTTACATGAGATTTTGGATTGTAAAGTGAGTTACAGTTTTCCAAACATAACATTATGTTAAAGAAATTTAAAGTATAAAGAATATTAATATATAAGAATAAAATTAGTAATAAATAAAAATTTTAAAATTCTTGAAATTCTTTTTATAAATAATTTTATCAAAACTGAACAAAAGAAAAAAAATTTTATTTCAAAGATAGAATAATAACTACTAAGTAAACTAACCTTAGACTATTAATTAAACTTGTTTTATATATTAAACTTGACCTAAAAAAGATACAAACCTTAAGAAAAATTTTTACTAGAAGGTCTAAATTATAATAATATCAAAAACTATATTGCAACAAACAACTTACACTTTAGCAAAAGTGATCCTAATGACCTTTATATCTTTACTAACTTAGCATATAGATATAAGATAACAACTCTAAAAAATAACAAAAAAACTTCAGATAATTCACAATCTAACTTATCACAAACTCTGAACTAAACAATTTTTCAAAACAGTTTCTTTTCTTTTTTTTAACTTATTTTATTAGAAAATCTACTAGTTCAAATAACCTTACACTTATATTTCTAGTCACCAATCTTTTTTTTTTTTTTTAATATTAATAGTGAGGCCATGCCTTTAACTTTATTGAAATTTAATTAAAGTTTTTATAAAGAAAAGTTTGCTTTTAAATTACATATGAAGAATAAAGACTCAGATATATAATTTGTGACCTAAACCTACAAGAGTGATCAAGGCTCATCTAGATTTGGGTTTGAGTAATAATATAAGAGAAAGGAGTATAGTATTTAATCCATTGGATAGTCCAAAGATCAATTTTAGTGATAATTTGTGGTATTGAAATAGATAATAAGAGTAGACTAGTAGATTTTCTAATAAAATAAGTTAAAAAAAAGAAAAGAAACTGTTTTGAAAAATTGTTTAG